ACACTATTTTCCGACCCTTTTGTCAATGGAGGATCCGGATGGGTGTACCCATTACACTCTCACTCGGGTCAATTGGACCGGTAGTGTGGATGGGCATCCGCATACCTATTACCCAAATGAGATCTCACCGGAGCTCATTCACGAGCTCCGGGAGTCAAATAACACGTATTCACACATGTTTGCGAGGAAATTCTCACCGGATTGTTTGAAGCCGTTGATGGACATAGCGGATAAGGTCATTTTCCGGAAGTAAAACGGGTCGGGTAAGTTTCTTTTACCAATAAAGTTTGCTTTTTTGCTTGTTAGATTTGACCATTGTAGTGTTTTTAGCAACGTCTCAATTGGTTCAGAGAATTCATTAGTTTAACCCTGCGAGTTGTAAATTAAGGTGAGAATACGTGTTAATTAACTATTGTTATATAGCAAGTGGACTAGTCGAGATATGGATTTTATAGTTGTATGTCTTGAGATGTTTGTACATCAAGATTTCAATTTTTCCTAGATAAAAGTGTGATCTTGGAACAATACGGAATTTCTCGATTATAAAAAAAGTAGTGGACATGAAATGATTTAGTAGTGATGCCCTATTGAGGTGTTTCAAGGGACAAAGCCAGATAAGAAGCCATAATTTTCGGAGAGTCGTGTTATGAATAACATTATTTTATCCTTATGAGTTGGAATTGTTACAAGGTGGTCGGGAAGTTGCCTGAAAATGTGTTTTTTAGTCAATTCTACATGTTCAAAAATAAGAAATTTCAATTGCTACGAAAGATTTGAGCCATTAATATTAAGAGAGTTTATTAGACAACCTCATGTTTCTAAGTAATTGGATAGTTTAATGCTTCTTCAAATCTAAGCCATTCAATCTTTGTCCCTACAAATTTGTTGTGTGTTCTTCCCATTGTGTTTTGATGTGATCCTTTTGTCTGGAAAAACGATTTTTTCTTAAATCTTGATGGATAGTGTTACACGGTTCTTGGGACATCACTATCGGTGTGAGTCAGTAGTTAGTCTCTTGTGAAAAAATCGAGGTGTAAACTGATTCAAACATCACTATTATCATAATGTAGACATTTGGTGAAATAGTCATCAACTTTCCGTGATATTGATAAAGAAATGAACTTTGAACGTAACTTAATCTCAAAAAGCACCCCACCGATGGTGGGACACATTAGTCATGGCCATATTAATCTATTGGCGAGAGATGATAGGTATTTGATGAAACAGTCGAGGTATTATTATAAATTGATTCGCGCATCACCCTTTTAGAATTGTTTAATAGATAATGTAAATCTATGGGAACAGTGTGTGTGTGGTTGAATGTCCTTTTTTCATTTGATATATTTGACTAATGTATTGCTTTTTTAAATGTTTTTTGCAGGTGGGGACTGGAATCTTTTGTATTTTAAGTTATTGAAGCACAGAGGCGCAAGCCAAAAGCTCTTTTGTTGGAATAAACAAATAAAATGTTTTTTTGGTGGTCCAATGTACAGAAAGAAAGAAAAAAGACAAGATAAGGTGTGAAATAATATTAATTATCAAAAGTCCAAAAAAGAAAAAAAAGGGGTGTGGGGTTTAGAGTGGAGTTTGTTACCAAAAGGGAACTATTGTAGGAAAATATAAAAGAACAACAAGTAGCAAATGGCTCATTGCTTCTTTTTTTTTTTCTTCTCTTTTTTTCCCTTTTTGTGTTCTTTAAAAAAATGTAGATGAAGAATAGTCAAGTCTCCCATTTGCTTGCCCCCTTTTATGTTGTTGGTTTATTTGTATTATTACTGTTTTCCTCAGTGTTGATGTAATGTTACATTAGTTTGGTAGTTGCATCTAAATATTGGATCCTTCCTTTCCTCTATTTACTCTTTTTAAGTTTTACGAATGATATTTCATATCGATCATCTCTTTCCTCGTCCTCCAACATGGTCCATTCCTGCACAAACCCTCTTATATCCCTGCGTATATTTTTTTTTATATATATTCTTTTATTTATGTATCAAGTGCAAGAAAATGAGAAGATTTAAAAAAAAAAGAAAGAAGGGTTTTTGTGCCGAATGCATAAATGTAAGTATTTTTTTCATTTCATCTTTTATCCATTAGAAAAGAGGCTAAAATGTTGGTCAAATGACTAATTGGCTGTGAAATGAAAGAGTGCTAGAATTGACGCATGCATGGCAACAAGTTGAAACTGGGACACCAACTATTATCCAGAAGAACTGGCAGTCGTAATTCATTAGGTCTATTCATACCCTAATACTTGTTTGGCCTGCCTCTATGTCCTCTTCTTATACTCATATGTAGTCAACCTCTTATATCCAGAGGCGTATCTAGGAGGGTCACCGGGTTCACGTGAATCTATGTTTTCCTCCTGAGATCATATATAGTAGTGTTATATTTTTAAAATATTATTGAAATATAGATGTGTAAATCCACACTCGGAATATCATATAATGCGATGATGACTGAGTGCAACTCTCTATGTGAGGTTAGAAATTTGAATTTTATATTTATCTTTTTTTCTTTTTCTTTTTAAAATTAGATAACACCTCTCTAAGTGGTTATGAGTAGCACTTTTGACAAAGAATTAATTTTGGATCTATAATATTAAAATTTTAACGCTTTTTAGTAATAAGAACCTAAATGTTGAACCGATCAAATTTATATCTTAGATCAACTTTTTTGTAACAATGCACCCATCATTTCGAAATTCTGAATACGCCTCTGCTTATATCTTCTTATCAGGGAATATTTATTTCTCCTCTTCATATGTATGTAACTATCCTAATCTCGTTTTCCTCATCTTTTCCATCACAAAGAACTTTCCATCATGTCTCAAATATCTTCATTCCTAATCTTTTTACTTCTAGTATGCCCACACATTCTGTTAACATTTTTATTTCTGTTATTTTCATCTTCTAGATATGCGAGCTCTTGGTTAGTCAATTCTCTATCCAATACAACATATTGGTCTAACATCCATTTTGTAAAATTTACCTTTAAATTTTGACAACACATTCTTATCACATAGAACATCGGACACGAGCCTTCATTTCATCCCTCTAGCCCCAATACGATGCTTTAATACTCTTTTCAATAATCAAAATGGGAAATAGAAAAATCAAATTGTACCCAATCTAATTAGATGTACAACAATATATTTAGTATAGTTCTACACAGTAGAATCTAAGTCTAATTAGGTTTAATTTTACTATAATATTTTAAGAAATCCAAAACCCAAAAATAATTTGAAATATTTTTAAAAAATAAATAAAAATTGGCCTCAGAACCAGTTGACCCCATCGATATGAATTGGCCACAAAACTAATCTTTCATTCTTAATTGTTGCCGGTCAATTTTTAAAACAAAATCTATCGACCTAAATACTAATATTCAAATAAGAGGTACACTTTTCTTTATGCCAAACTTGTGAGTTAAGTAAAAATCAGGTGGAATCATCAATTTTTGAGTCTACTATGAGTTTTAAGTCAATGCTTGAAAAATAATAGGAAAATAGCCTTACTTTAAACCAGAAATAAAATTTGGACAAAAATATTCATCCATAACAACTTATAAAGGTTTAAAACCCCCTAAATCGTGCTTCTATTTGAAATTCTAGCAAATTTTTGAACCCTATAATTCATTTTTGAATTTTGAACTTATAAAGATTTGAACGTTATAAATTATTCATCGGGTATCTTTAATTAATATATCTTTTCATATTGAAAAGAAAAATTATTTCCAATTTTTAAGTGTAGTGTGACAAGAATGAAAGGGAGTGTAGTTGACAAACAGAAGTTCTGACTTCTAAGTGATGGAGACATAGCAATAAGTTATGACAAGTATTTCAATATTTTAAGAACCGTTTGATCATAAAATTATTCACTTTATGTCTGGTTCAACTTTCACTCATGACTAAAATTATTCACTTTTTTGGTAAAACAATTTGTTACTTTGTATTGAAATTAATGTTTGAACATGAAAATTTCAAATCCAACTTGAACTTGTATGCTAAAATATCTTATAACATATTTTTGTTTCATTTTTCACTTTTGAAATTGTATTTAAAACATGAATATTCATTTCAGTACAACCATAAATTACTCTCATGAATACAATATTTATTCACATTTTACACACATTATATGAGTTACAATAGTTGAGTGAGATTACCTCCTTGAAGCTTAACTCCAAATTTCGCCTACTTGGTAGATTTTAAGATTCTATGGAAATACCCTAATTTCTCAAAGCCCAAGCTCAAACACTAATATATATGGACCGGACTCCTCGTGATCGCCTGATCACGAGGTTCTAGTCAACTTAGGTGAGTTCTCCTCGCAATTAGTTGTGCATTAGACTCTTTTATTTCCCACGCCCTGAACCTCTCGTGATGGGCTCGCAACTTTATGCCAAGATCAAATGAGCTTCTCGCGATTAGCCTCACAATTCATTCAACCTCATTGTCCCCTCCGGAAGGTGATGCTTCCCCATCTCAGACACCCCCTCGCGATTGACTCACATAGTAAGGTGCCCTTGAAAAGCTTGGGTTCAATTTTCAACTTTTGTTTTGATATTTTGGCATCAATCCTTCCTCCAACTTATCCCAAGCATCCCACTTACTTCAAGTGGCCTTGCTAATGTATTTGGGACACGCTAAACACTTCAACAAGCTCAAAGTTAACCACACTTGAGGCTTCAAGTTTATGTGGCTTTACAAATAAGATGTAAGCCATGAGCATTAACACGTTGACTCTGCGGAGGGTAGAGAGTACATATAAACCTAGACAATTCCTGATAAACCTCGACCTCACCTCAAGAAAAAGCATATAAAATGAAATAAAAAAAGAAACTAACAAAAGTGAAAAGATCATGACAAATATATATATATATATAACCAAGTCACATTTAGCAAAAGAAACATTTCACGATAACAAAATGCACGCATTAATAATCTACGATAATAGTTGGTAAAAGCAACACTCACGATAACGAAATGCACGCATTAATAATCTACGAATCATATCAACATTATATACTACTAACACACAAACAAAATATAGTCTAATTATACCAAGAACTTAAGATCCTCCCAACTTCAAAAGAAAGATAAGCATCAAGGCAAGCATAACATACTTGATCAATACTAAGCCAACGATCATCCCAATCACTCATCGTCACCCTCTTCGGCTTGTAAATCTCAATTCCAAGAATTTCCTTCACTAAGCCCTTAAGCCCATAACTCCGAAGATTGTCATTCTCAAGTTCCTCCATCGCCCACTCCCTCAAATCAACCGTATTCGACACTCCAATTCCCCAATCATTCAACAATTTCTTCACATCATTCTCAATCCCAACTCCAACAAATCTGTAATCGTCGTTATTCAGGAAGTTACGGAGTTTCCGGGGGATATTGGGGGCGTGAATGATTTGGTAAATCAAACAGGATTTTCCGACGCAGAGTTGGAGTGTTGCGACCGGGTTTTGACCCGCACCCGGGTTGAAATTAGGGCGCCATTCAATGTCGATTCCGACGATTAAGCGGTGGAGACGGGATTGGTTAGAGGATTCGGTGCTGTCGATCCATGAACAGATCATGGCCGGATCACGGGTAACTAGGGTTTCGATTTCGGTTTCGTTCAAAAATACATCGTAGAGTTTGTGACTGTTGTAAGGTAACTGGTAATCTTTGATCCTCACACTCATGGCGTTCAAAAGCAGAAGAAACAATGGTGAATTTTAAAATTTGGGACTAAGAAACTAAATTAGGGTTTTAAGTTGTAACTGACGGGTCACCCTTCGGGGTGGCCCGGTGATTTGGGCTTGGAACTTTCATGTTGGAGGTCTCAAGTTCGAAACACTTTGTCAGCGAAAGCAAGAGATTTGTCTTCTGAGTCGAGCTCATCGCACCAGACTTGTCTAGTGCGGATTACCTCTTCTATGTGATTTGCGAGCTATCGCATAGAAGCAAATATTTACCTTGTGCGCACCCCAAAGGATAGCGACTGCGATTTTCTCGTCATAAAAAAAAGTTGTAACTGACGGGGTCACCCTTCGGGGTGGCCCGGTGATTTGGGCTTGGAACTTTCATGTTGGAGGTCTCAAGTTCGAAACACTTTGTCAGCGAAAGCAAGAGATTTGTCTTCTGAGTCGAGCTCATCGCACCAGACTTGTCTAGTGCGGATTACCTCTTCTATGTGATTTGCGAGCTATTGCATAGAAGCAAATATTTTACCTTGTGCGCACCCAAAGGATAGCGACTGCGATTTTCTCGTCATAAAAAAAAGTTGTAACTGACGTGTCAGATTAAAAGCCCATTAATGTGAAGTTATTATATTAGGAATAAGTGTTACTTTAGCAAAAATCGTGATTTACTCAAATAGTAATTTCAATTTGAAAGAGATTGTTTGGACTATAAGAAATGATTATGCCAAAGAATAACTAATCACTACTATTGATGACTATAATTTGTTTTTATAAAATTATGTGTATTTAAAAGTTTATGATCCTAAATATTTTTAAAAAAATAAATAAATATATATATGTAATTTATCATTGTAGCATTTAGGAATTCAGGTTATGAATTATAATTCTCATTTTGTAAGATTTGATTTTTTTTTTGTTTACAAGAAAAAAATATAATTCAAGTATATTCAAATAGAAATGGAGATATGTAATTTATCATTGTAGCATTTAGGAATTCAGGATATGAATTATAATTCTCATTTTGTAAGATTTGAATATTTTTTTGTTTACAAGAAAAAAAATATAATTCAAGTATATTCAAACAGAAGAATAATATTTCAAAAGAATGTGACATGATTCTTCATGTTTTCTTAGGGGTCGTTTGGTTACTGGTTAGAGTTATGCAGGGTTTAGTTATGCAGGTATTAGTTATGCAGGGTTTAGTTATGCATGTATTAGTTATGTAGGATTTAGTTATGCAGGTATTAGTTATGCAGGATTTAGTTATGCATGTATTAGTTATGTAGGATTTAGTTATGCAGGTATTAGTTATGCAGGATTTAGTTATGCATGTATTAGTTATGTAGGATTTAGTTATGCAGGTATTAGTTATGCAGGATTTAGTTATGCATGTATTAGTTATGTAGGATTTAGTTATGCAGGTATTAGTTATGCAGGATTTAGTTATGCATGTATTAGTTATGTAGGATTTAGTTATGCAGGTATTAGTTATGCAGGATTTAGTTATGCATGTATTAGTTATGTAGGATTTAGTTATGCAGGTATTAGTTATGCAGGATTTAGTTATGCATGTATTAGTTATGTAGGATTTAGTTATGCAGGTATTAGTTATGCAGGATTTAGTTATGCATGTATTAGTTATGTAGGATTTAGTTATGCAGGTATTAGTTATGCAGGATTTAGTTATGCATGTATTAGTTATGTAGGATTTAGTTATGCAGGTATTAGTTATGCAGGATTTAGTTATGCATGTATTAGTTATGTAGGATTTAGTTATGCAGGTATTAGTTATGCAGGATTTAGTTATGCATGTATTAGTTATGTAGGTATTAATTATACAAATATTAGTTTCGTAGATATTATTTATGTAGGATTTAGTTATGTAGAAATTATATTACATAAATTATAACTTATTGATTATTTAATTTATTGTAAATTAATATACTTTTTTTAAAAAGTCGGAAATTATAAAATCCATGCTTATAAACAAGCAGTATCCAAAATAAATAAAATGCAACAGTCCCTCGGGGGTGGGGTGGGGGTGTAAAAAGGACGAAACTCAAAAACACCCCTGGGGTCATTCTGTTTTTTTTTTGGGTGGTTTTGTGTGTGTGTGGAGGGGGGGGGGTAAATAACGTAACTACAAGTTACAGAAATAGAAGTCTTTTTTTAAAAAAAGAAAAGATATAACTCCTTAATTTGTAAATTAATATACATTATTATTTACAAACAAATAAGTAAGAAAACAAATTAAGGGTAAATATGTAATTTAATTATTTTAATCCATGTATAACTAATACCCTCATAACTTATTCCACCTTCTACCCTGCATAAAATTATACATAGATTTCTTCATAAGTTATATAAGTATTAGCTATGTGGCATCACAAAAATACAACCAAACACCACATAAAATCAATACATGTATAACTTTTATACAACATTGGAGACACACCAACCAAATATTGTATAAAATTTATACATGAATAATTTTGATTCTATTTACAAACCAAACATGGTACAAAATTTATTCATGTATTAACTTTGCCCTTATCTAGTAACCAAACGGCCCCTTAGGGTGTTGGTAATGGTTCACATGATTTATTGTGTGTGAGTATAGTGGCATGGCACGAGGTGTATATCTTTGTATATTTATGTATATTGCATGGATATACAAAGAAATATACACGAATATACATAGATATACAAAGTGATAGGAAAAATGGATACAAAGTATATTCATGCACACAACTGTATATACTTGTCGATGTTCAAATTTGAATTCCCCGAAGTTTAGTTCCACAAATAAAATCTAAAAAGAATAGGAAATATGTATTCTCTTTGTCCATCTTTATTTATCCGCTATGCTATTTTTGATGTTTAACAATACTTGTCCAGTTTATAAAATCAACGAATAATTTATCATTTTTATCTTTTTACTTTTGCTAATAAATACTATTCATTTTTTAATGTTTAGATAACTTATACTCTTTCCGTTCATTTTTACATGTCATCCATTTCTATAAATAATTGGTCCATAATACTTGTCATTTCATAAAATCAATGCATAAATTACCATATTGTTTCTTTTTTATCCTTGTGAGTTATTAGCCTGGAAAATATACATTTGACCAACTTAGAAAAGTTAAGTAAATGATTCATGTTCATTGGTTAAATTAATTTATATTCATTGATTGAAAACTTGAGTTCCAAAAAAATTAAATAAGGGTAGAATAATAAACTTACTTAGTTTCTTAATGCACGTAAAATTCAAAATGGTGACATATAAATAGGAACGGAGGGAGTATTTAATAAAGGTGATTTGGTAAAATAACCTCTATAATTTATTACTTCTTAATCTCCGTGTCAAGTCAATAGTGGACAACTATTATTACATAAATAAAGTAAATTTTATTGATATTTTTGTAAAGTAGAAAGAATATTTTTAATAAACTCAATCAAATAAAACTAACATGTCTAAATTCAGATGAACAAAATGTCTCATGTGCCTTTTTTTTTTCCTTTTCTCTCTTTTCAATTTTGAGTCTTGAGCTCTAATGCTTTTGAATTTTTTCTAAAAAGTAAATCCACCTTAACAAATATCTCTACAAAACAATCTGCTTAAGTAAGAAAGCAAATAAACAACTTGAAGATAGTTAACAATTTGGATTTAAAATATTTTTCTAAAAAGTTGACAACTTGCAATACAAAATTAAGCAACTTGAATTAACACACTTGCTAACCAACAAAATAACAAATATATTTTTTAAATGAATAGGCCAAACTTTCAGTAACCCTATTAGGAACAAGACAAAAATATTTGGTATAAAATAACCTAACTTTGCATTAAATAATCTATGAAAGTACATCAAGCTATTTCAAATGTACAACATATGAAATCATTATCTTCTAAAATAATAATATTTTATATAAATAACCCCAACCCCCTCTCAAGACCCCACACTTTAACTTCAAGTTGTGTTATGATAAAAAGTGAAAAATAGATATTTTTTGTTATCTTTTAATCAAAGAGGTATTAGTATATAGCATGTGGAAGCTCCACAAGGAAGTGTCTACAAAATCTACTATACTATGTTTGTTCAAATCTCAATTGGAAAGAGAATATAATATAGTATTTACTTTGTGTTGATTTCGTGTTGGTATTAATTAAATATCAAAAATACAGATTTTTCTCACCCTAAATCAATAAAAAAACTATCATATAAAATATAATTTTCTTACTCATTCCTACCGAATAGTGTGAAGTTTTCTACTTTTTTCATGTAAAACAATTACTATTTTTTCACCAATTTATTTAAAATATTTACAAAATTAATTACTAACTATTTGTTAATAAAATAGTAAGGGTAATATTATTGTTTTATCATTTGACTTTATTAAATTTACTGTCTAACAATAGTTATTTACTATTGACTTGACACACCCTTTAAAAACAATAAATAGTAAGAATAATATTACTATTTACTGTATTATCCTTTAACTTTATTAAATTTAATGTTTTAAAAAATGTGTTAGATGATAAATAATATTTAATAACAATGATAAAATAGCACAAAGATAAATTATTTCTTAATTTTTTAAATTAAACAAATATTGTTAGACAACTATTTTTAATATAATAAATAACTATTATTAGACGAATGAAGTAATAGATCATTACATATACTTTTTCTAAAAATGTCTAGAAAACATAAGAATCTTTAGAGGGATCTTTAAAGAAGCATGCCTAGTAAATTGTCACTTCATGAAAAGATGTTGCTTTCACATGTCTGAGTAAAAAGACTAATTAGGGTCCTTGACGGGTTGATTAGAGTCACGTAGATATTAAAAATATGAAAATTAGTTATGAAAAAAGTTATGTAATATTAATTAAGTGATATATTCTATTTCATTTAAGTGAACATACCAAATAATTGATAGAAAATAATATATGCATAACTAATTTTATCATAACTAATACATTATATTCAATATTATTCTTAAACACCTTATGAAATAACTCATTAGGGTATGTTTTGTATGGACTAAAAATGTTTTCTAATTTTTTCTTGATCGGTTGGTCAACAAATT